TACCGGTCCAAATCAACATCGTATATATGTCCAATTATTACATGCTGAAAAGTCATTTCCTGCATTATGATTTCAACGAAGACCGGCGCCTCAGCATCAACGAGGTGATGGCAGCATTTGCTGCCCTGGGTGCGCTTTCCCCTGGGCAGAGAGCCGGGTTGGTACTAGCTAGAGGAAGTTGATGTGAATGGTGATGGTAGCATAAGCATAAGTACTCCGGATGAGATGAACGTCCTCATTGGCTACGGTATAAACTTGTTGAAGTCCACGTTATAATATACAATCAGAAAAATATAAGTACTTCTTGGAATAAAGTCAACAACAGAGAGCTAAGCTAGCTCTAAATTGAATCAGCTGACTTTCACCATCTTCTGCTAAATATGGGCCGAACCAAAAAGGCATAAATGTTGAGCAACATGTTCAACATTCATGTACTAGCTAGTAATTAAGGTGGTCAAGTCAGGAATTTGATTCAACAGAATGCATTAGAATCCTCTTTTCTTAATTACTCAAAAATATGATCAATTCATTTGGAAGCTCTGTATAAAACACCTGTGCCTCTCTCTATATATGCGTACAAGCCAAACGCTTCAATTTGTAGCCATGAGTCCATGACTGGTGTTCAGATTAATCCCAATTGTTAAGGCAGCAATCCTCTCACCCCGCCTGCAAAACAGTTTCCTTTGCGCAACACAAAAACAGCAAGTGTATCAAGTTTTATGATATCTCTCCTCAATACTACCGCAAGATGGTTTGTGGATGTTCCATATATACTCCTCCCATGTATGCGTCGACAACCAGAAAACGGCAATCCAATTGCCGTTGCCTTGAACAACAGTACACCTGCCATTGTTGGGACTAACACTACAAGAATGCAACCCCATTTGCCTAAGAAAATTTGGACGCAGATAGAAAAATAAATGCCTCAGCTATGTGGACGCTGATTCTGACATTGAAAAGCGCATCGCAAATACATTTGCATCAACACGAAAAGGACTGACGCTGATATCTAAAATCATTGCATTAGCTGAAGTTGACACATATGCTCACACAAGTATATGTTACCAGCTAAACCCAAAGTTCCGGTATTACTAGTATTGCGTCGAAATGAAAGTCAATTAATTGGCAGACACTAATACTCTTGTTAGATTCAAAAAAAAAATAATTACTATTGAGTTTTAATATAATAATCATAATTAGTTGATGGAGTTGTGATTGCAAATGAAGTCATTGATGAGGCTAAAAGGAAGAGAAAGAAAAGTTTTCTATTCAAGGCTGACTTTGAGAAAGCATATGACAAAGTGTGTTGGAATTTTATTGATTACATGCTGATGAGGACGAGATTTAATGAAAAATGGAGAAAATGGATCCAGGAATGTCCAAGATCAAGCTCGGTTTCTGTTCTCATTAACGGAAGCCCAACAAAAGAGTTCCCGGTAAGCAAAGGTATTTGACAAGGCGACCAATTATCCCATTTCTTAGTTCTAATTGTGGCAAAAGGGTTGAATGGATTAGTGTCTTCTGCAATGGAGAAGAAACTATATAAGGGTGTCACGATAGGCAATGGAGATACTACGGTTACACACTTACAATTTGCTGATGACACCATTTTCTTTAGTGAGGCAACAGATGAAAACATAAGGGTGGTCAAAGGGATTATGAGGACTTTTGAATTGGCTTCAAGGACAAAGATTAATTTCGGGGAAAGTCAGATAATGGGGGTGGGAGTTGAAGAAAGCTGGACAACAAAGATGGCATACAGACTATGTTGTACACAAGGAGAATTTCCATTTAAATACCTAAGAATTCCTATTGGCGGGAATCATAGAAAAACAATAATAAGGCATCCAATGGTTCAATCCTTTAAAAAGAAGCTTGCTAGCTGGAAGGGTAGGCAGCTTTCTTTCGGAGGTCGCATCACACTCATCAATTTAGTGTTGTCTAGTCTACTTGTGTTCCTGATGTCCATCTACTTAATCTTGAAAGGTATACTTCATTCCATTGATAAAATTCGTAAAAGTTTTTTATGGGGTAGGGTGGGGGGGTGATGAGAGGAAGATTAATTGGGTCAAGTGGGAGAAGGTATGTAAAAAAAAAAAGAGGAAGGAAGGCAGAGGGTGAGGGACTTGAGGAAGTTTAATTTGGCTTTGATGGGAAAATGGTGGGGACGGTTAATAGTAAACAAAGAGGGATTGTGGAAGTAATTATTGAAAGATATGGTGATGGAGGAGACCATTGGCTAGATTGGGTAAAAGGAAATAGAGGAGTAGGTTCAATATGGTGGAGAGATGTGTGCCGTCTTGATTCTTTGGATGGAGAGAGTGGAGGGTGGTTGACGAAGGGTTTTAGAATAAAGATGAGGGAGGGAAGAAGGGTTAGTTTCTGGTGGGATCATTGCTGTTGGGAAGGGTGTCTTGCTAATAGGTTTCCAAGATTATATTTGTTATCAACAGGTAAAGAGAACATGTGTTGTCAGATGGGCAATGTTAGCAATGGCTCATGGAAATAGAACCTAAAGTGGAGAAGGAACTTGTATGATTGGGAAGCTGACAAAGCCATAGAACTTCAAAAGATGATAGAAGATGTGAAGATATCCGAAGGAGGCCTCGACTTATGGGAATGGATTCATGACAAGGGCAGCCAATATTCAACCAAAACGACTTATTCTCTTCTAACGATGCAGCTGGGGGAATCGAACGAGGTTAAGACTTACAAAAGAATATGGAATCCCATTCTTCCTTGCAAAATATCAACATTCAATTGGCAATTATTACTGGATAGAATACCAACCAAGGCTAATTTGTTAAGAAGAGGGATCATTAAAGACATGACAGAAGCTAAGTGCGCCATATGTAATGAAGAAGAAGAGGATTCTACTCATCTTTTTTTGAACTGCAAAATTATTAGGTGGGTGTGGAAGGCTTGCTTTAAATGGTGGGGGACCAATATAACATTGGATAGGGATTGCTGGAAAACTTTTCAACTCTTTGGGACATGCACTAAAGGATTAGACTAAGAGAAGGCGTGGATTGTATATGAAAAACTGTTGTTTGACTCGTGTGGATTGCTAGAAACCAAAAGATCTTCCACAACAAAGAGGTAAACCTTAAAAAGCTGTTTGAACTTGTCTAAATGAGATCTTTTTATTGGATTAAAGCAAGAACAGATTGGAACACTGTTAGTCTTTCAGATTGGATTATTGATCCA